CCAGACTATGAGCTTGCTCATGCTACAACTGTAACGTCGTCTGTGACGGATTTGATCCGCACCGCTAGTGCGGGTGATAGGATGTGTTTAGCGCTGCTACGAGCTCTCGGCAGCAAGGAGTTTGGAGACTCAGACCAGAAATTGTCATTAAGACTGCGTGCACGATTGCACCGATATTCGTTGAATAATGGCTTGCCATATTATAGCACCGACTCAACGGATACATCACGAGTTGTAGTTCCTCATGATGAAAATTTAAAATATCACATCCTCTATGAGGCTTTCGATCAGTGGTCGTCTCGGTCGTGAGAAAACGTTCAATACTGTGAGTCACCACTACTAGTGACCCAATTTGTACAAAAGGACGAGCACCTATGTACGCACGTTTGAGACGTGTCAACGGGTGAAACCCTCTTTAAATGCGTCTGTACCGCTGGCCAGCTTACCGGTTCTCACTGGGTTCTGGCAGTCCATGAGTTTGGACTTTGTGTTTGGCCTGCCGAAAGACTCGACGGGCAACACGGGTGTCGTGGTATTCGTCGACCGGTTGAGCAAGATGGCTAATTTAGCGGCGGTGCCAGACACCATCAACGGGGTCAGTTCAGCAACGCAGTTCGTGGATCGTGTTTTCCGACAACACGGACTCCCATAGTCGATTGTCTCTGATGGACCCCCGTTTCACAGGTAAATTTTGGTTAACTATCTTCAAGGTGCTAGGGACCAAGTTGGAGATGTCGACAGCGGATCATCCGCAGACCGATAGTCAAACGGAAAGGGTGAATCGCGTCATCGAAGCTGTTCTTCGCAGCGTTTGCGCTATAACGCCGAGGCGCTGGAGTGCCATGTTGCCAATCGTAGGGTTTTGCGCTGAACAATGCAGTGCATTCGTCTACCGGCTACACGCCGTTCTGATTCACCCTCACGTCCCGCTGACGCCGCCATCCCATGGCTCAAGGCTTGTGATGGAGGAATAGCCAAACGGCTAGCTGATGTCAGCCCTCTCACCATCCGTAAAGAAGTCGATGACTTCTTGTCTATCAGACTGAGTGCCCTACTACACGTTCGCGATGCGATGACTAAAAGCCAAGAAAAGAAATATGCAGATAAAAAGGGAAGAGGCAAAGATGAAAGCTTTAAGGTCGGGACCTGGTTTTATCAAATTCCAAAATCCTGCCTAACATGCAGCCTCTGCTATCTTCCGGACGAAGCTTCGTCCGCGGTTTATTGGACCGTTTAAGGAGTGGCCAAGCGGGGCGTAGCGTATACGCTAAACCTTCCCAAACGAATGTGCACCCACCCGGTGTTTTACGTGTGTTTGCTCAAGCCGTATCGGGATCTGGCGCAAGTGAACGTGGAAGGGTTGGCGCCAGAGCGTATCCCACAGGCCCTTGGCCACCCAAATGTTAGACCAGCAACTGGTTTTGTTCATGGAGTGCAACAACCTCCCTTTCCAATGAGGGCAAGCGATCCACGTTGTCTGCCGCGATAAATTCGCCTGCTCCACGGCTAGGAGCCGCTCCGACAGAGAGCGGTAGTCCTCAAGGCGAGGCAGCCGGCGCACGACGAGCTTTAAATCTCAAGATCGTCCGCACAGCGTTATGCTACTTCAGCATGACGCTCATCGAGCTCCGATCACGAAGGACCTCGTCCTCAAGGGCTCGAAGAACATCACGAGTCACGGGACGGCAGCCGACCCGGTCGACACCACCCGCCACCGACTCTTCTCGATGAGAACGGTGACGTCCACTATCACGTTGTACGTCTTGTGGGACGACGTCGTCACCAGGGTCAAACCCAATAGCTGGTAACGTGGCGGGGATATTCCGAGTCGAAAACACGTGGGAGTTTGAGGCGCCACTTCGGCAGGATTGCCCAATCGCCGTGGACGCTTTTGATCGGAAAGATCAGGAAGTCCTGCGTCATCAGACGCCCCGCGTTTCCCGGCAATAGCCAGGGAAGTAGAAGGGTCATGAGCTGAGCTCAAGCAGTGGCCCTGAGCTCTTACAGTCAAAGACAAAGAGCTTTCGGGAAAAATTAGGGGTTGACTTATACGTCGCAGGGCGACAATCCGAAGTAAGTCGACGGCGTGCCTTGAGCTTGGCAAACTCAATTCGGAGGTGTCGCTCAACACGCACGTCCACTTCCTTGTGGCTCAACTGTAGGTTATACAGTGGGGAAAGTCTCCGGTGTCGTTGCACCTATCGCTCAAAGAGCTCATCGCCATAAATAGTGTTTTCACCAGGGGCGAGCTCTACAAGTATCGTCCGCATTGCAGGTACACGAAAACCACCTTTTTGAGCACGTAGACGAGTGCGATAAATGTCTAACGATATTTCTTGTGGTACCAAGAAACAAGCTCGAAGAGCTTTCCGTGTGGTAAGTTCATCTTCCATATTGGCCGGGGGCCCGATGATGTGGACGCGTAACGATCGAGTTACAGCGTCCTTCGCTTCCACATCGGGATCCGCTGGGCGTAAGCCATATTCCACACGAGGGTCAATGAACGGCCGTGGATTGGCGCACTTTAGGGCTGCCTTATGGGCAGCTTCAAGCTGCCGCCTCTGAGCCCGGTCGAAGTCATTGGTGATGACACCACGTTCCTCAGTTGACGAGAAGTCAGGGAACGACATGGGTCCGCAAGGCGCGAGCAGGGCTCGTATTACGCTGCAGGCGCAGCTCACCTTCCTCGCCATCTCATGCGGGAAAAGGAGTGTCAGACTCGTAGTCGACCACCTCCACATCCTCTACGAGGTCACTCGTCATTGATAGCGTGCGCAAAGGACGACGCTCGTACTCATCGAGCCTAGGATGTACATCTTCCGGTGCCGCGGACGCACTGTCCGATATCTCACCGCGTGCGGGAGCCGAAGTTGGGCTCTGCCCGTGCTCGCTATCAGAACCAGCGAGAATTGGTGACTTCCGTGTCGTGGACACAAGGATCAATGAGCAAGAAAGTTGTTTCATCCCAACGAATTGAGTTGCAATGTCTACCGGACACGCAAGCCTCGCTGAGGCAATAATCGATTGAAACTGAAAACCTTTATGGGGAGATGTAACGGGGTTACACGTACCCTGGTAACAGGTGTGTGTGCCACACGAGACGTGCATGGTGTGACTGCACTCAAACAAGAACAAGGTACGTGGCTAGGTAGCCAGTAGTTATGCATGTATTTAGATTGAACTATATATATATATATAGGAAAATCTAAACTTTTAGAATTAAGATAAAAAAATCTGTTTTGAATTTTGAACGGAAGAGTAATTAGCCTTGAGTGAGGTAATAATTACTTTTGGAGTAAATGGATTGCGATCCGCTAACTCGTACTTGTTCTAAGTATAGAAAGAAAGGTCGGTGACCAAAATTACGCTTCCTCAAGCGCTAAGCTACGGCAGCCCCGCTGCACGTTCGCTAGGGGATGGGTGTAATGAGGTTTGTACCCAATACTACATAAATTGTACTACGGACTTAGAGCGATCTTTAAATTATTAGAAAAGAAAGTTTAATAAAGCATCACGAATTGTACTCGGCACGGACAATGGTGATGAGACTTCGTGATGCAGAGTTTAGTGGGGGATGCCTGGACATTTAACCCATGCTATGCATTATATATGGTATTATATGATGTGAAAAAAACGCGCTCGACATAATTCTTAATGTATTCGTTTTGGATTAGTGCAAGAAGTACTTGTTGCTGAAAGGGCACTTGATTTGGCACATGACAGTTTTCTCGTGCGTTTCAAAAGTGGACTCGTAGGGTCAAATCTTCCTCTTTGCGAGGTACACGGCTACCCCACTGCACCCACGTCTTGGTGCCTTAACTTGGCTGGAAAGAAAAGATGATGATAGATGGGAGCAGATAAAGCGGTGCGCTGATTTTGACTTACCATCTCGTTCTGCATTTTTCTCCCATTTAAGCATCTCCCAGGTTTTTAGCTTTAACATCACGCAAAGTGGCGACTGCGTACATCGTATCTGTATCCGTTTCGCGGAATAAAGAATGGTAAATTTCCTAGTTGCGGAGAGGATAAGTCACCGTTATAACAAATAAATTAGACTCTAATGAAAGAGCTTAAATTGCTAGTGGACAATTGAGTTAACCGCCAATAGGGCCGATAGCGTCTACGGTACGTCGTCACTATGACTCGATCGACTCGATATATCGAAACAGTTAAAAAAATCGCTTCCACTCCACCTGTTGCTGAGTATCGCCCAGGTAAATCCATCGGTTTTTAATCCTTCCACTTGAAGGTGAATTCCCCTTTTCGTTCAGAGGTCGCGGCGGAGATGATGGCCCTCCCTCGTATACTATTTACGTTGGCTCTCTCCGAGAGAGTCGACGTACCAAAATGACTAATGTCAGTACAGGCCGCAAGCCAGGATACAAAACGGTAACTAACGTTTCGTTATAGTCCAGAAAGTCGACGAGCGCTTGTCGTGGGTAATAGTTTCTCGGTGGCACTTTTTGAAAGGAAGTGGTTTGCTTCCATGTGGAATAGATAGAGATATGATGGGAAATGACACCCCTTTTTAGGAGTCGTGTAAACCATGTCAAGCAGAAGGGTTTTATTCATTACACTCTAACCCCTCTCTATTCGGCCCGGGGATTCAACCCTGGACCTCCCGGTTCTGAAGTGAGCGGCGAATCACTGCACCACAGGATCGGTGGAATAGATAGAGAGCAGACGGGCTTACGTGTAAACAATCGACGATCTCACTAGGAATATAACTAATGTCTTGTGATGCGGAAGGAATACACCTTATTTAAGAAAACATAGGATTTGAGATCCAGCTTTGTCAGGTTTTGGCCCGACGCCGTTGCCGTGCCACACGAGAGGAGCCAGAGTCGCACTGCGCATCGTGCTTGTTCTATCCGACCTTACTACTAAATACTAAGACAGGTTGTGTAACGGGGTTACATGAGAGTGG